TGTTGTACTTAATAAGCTATGACCATTAATCATCTATAAATAATAGACTGAAAACTGGTTCCAAGTTGCGTCCATAACATCCAGACACTTTTGAGTAAAAGATAGGTTACGTGCCCTTGTTTTGAAATTAGTCTCGCTTAACCAGTCTATCGACCATTCTACGTCTGATTGACAGGTCGGGATAATCAAGACTACTTTTTTACGAAACATAACAGAAAGCTAGAACAAGAAATTGAATTTAGAAATAAGCACTTTAGACAACTCAACAATTGTTTTAAGAAACTTGTAAAAGTAAAATGAAACTACTGCTAGTATCATGTTCCTGCTAAAGAAAGTGATTCAGAGATAGTATTTGTACTAAACCAAAAGATGCCGCTCTTAACGGTACAGTTAATGATAAAGCAATTTAAAAAATAAAACAAACGTAATTACTAAAGCTGCTGTAATAACCAAGAAGCTAAATTTTACTGCTATTCAAAATCGTCAACAATAGATTTTTTACGGCTGTAATAGTTGATATATTTGTAGAGAATTGCACGTGCCATGGCTATTTATCGACTCAAAGCGAGTGCGGGGTAGTCAGAAATCAGTTCGAGACACGCAACTGAAGCGTGCACATTTAGCCGTGTCGAGACCAACTTTTTGTAAAGTGCACGGGTCATCCTACTGTTATCATACTTTTGTCACGTGTCTATGTATTATGATAACAAACTAGGTCATTTCGGGTGGGAGCCACGGTGGTTAAGTGGCCGCGTGTTCGATCCCTGCATTGGGCGAGAATGTTCATGCAGATTTCCCGACGTGGTTTCCCTTTGTCAGTGGTGCAGGGCGGAGGGCCTGACAAGGACAGCTGTCTAGTCCTTCGGATGAGACGAAAAACCGAAGTCCCGTGTATATATTGGAATGCACGTAAAAGATCCCTTGGCAGTTGGAATTCGATATAAGATTAGGCGACAGTGCCGCTGCCCGGGCAAAATTTCCCTCATAGCACACTGTATGGCGTATGCCCGTCTTCATTAGCCCAGCATAGGAGCAGAACAGTAGGACGTTAAACCCCATTTCATTTCATTTCTTTAAGTGACGTGATTTTGACCAATCAAGAAACAGATTTGTGGTAGTGACAGATTATTTTTTGGATAATGTTTTGTAAAAGTGACTTTGTTTGAGAATGAGATTGCCGTGGAGCAAAATAAAACATCTTTAAAAAGAAAGAAGGGAAACATTTACTTGCTTTTAATTGCACATAGTTTGTGGATTTGTTCTAGGTAAGAATGACTTGTAGAATTTGTATACGTCCACATGTTACGTCGTCACCCCTGTGTATTCATCCATAAATGTGACCCCTAAAGGATCCACGAATTATAACCGTTTTTGTTGTACAATCAGGGGTCTTAATCCAGGACGCTATGGTCCGACATGCTCAATATGGTTGGGATATAAAGATAGGGTCCACAAGCTAAACCTATATTTAAAGTTTCGTCTAACAATTGTGACCTGTAGAGTGTCCGAGTGTCCACAAATGGGTAAGGGTGCAGAGAGAGAGAGAGAGAGAGGGGGGAGAGATGGGGTTTAACGCCCACTCGACACAAACTAGGTCATTTCGGGACTAACACATTGTTCAATGTTTATTTCACCAATTCGATTGCGCGTAAGGGGGTTTTAGTAGTGGGAGGAAACCGGAGAAAACCCACGAGGTTGGACAGGCAACCCTACTCCTTGTCCCGTACAACTAGGGAATCGAAACCACTCTAGTTGACTTAATGAAAGACCTTATGATACAGAATGCACGTGCTAACCATTCGGCCATCTACCCACCCACACACACCACCCCCACACCCTGCACCCACCACCCGTGAACGGATGGACAGGGGCGACGACAATATACGTCCACATGGAAATAAAACGTGATATAACGATCATAATCATAGATAATTTAATTTGTGATATACACAATATAGAATTAGTAAAAACAAAAAACATATGTTTAATGATATATACAATATATTATTTAAAAAACATATTTAAAAAATATGTGGTGACATATTAATCATAAATACTGATCTTGGCAATTTATCTAGCTAAATGTCAGCTTGTTTATCTAATAGTACAAAGTTTGGCGATGTAATATTTTATTTTATTTAAAAGTACTAATTTTGACAATCTGATATTATACTAGCTGATGACCCGAAACCGAAAACTGTAGGCCAACGCCATGAAACACCGCGGTCCGAGCTACCGCTATACACCAAATTTTAGACTCGGGACAACCCTTAACCGCCAACCCTGGGCAGACAAACAAACGACAGTCACAAATATTAGTATATATAGAGAGAGATTTTCTATAGCTGCAAAACTTTTTTTTTTTGGGGGGGGGGGGCTCTTTTAGAACAATGGGTTTAAAACTAATTATTTCGCCTTATTTAGTATATATAGAGAGATTTGCTATAGCTGCAAAACTAGGGGGGGGGGGGGCTCTTTTAGAACAATGTGTTTAAAACTAATTATTTCGCTTTATTAAAGATACATTATGGGAGAATAGATGAAGGGCTGGTAGTTATCTCTATAATAGTTAACTAGCGGCTGCCAGGCAGGATACGCCCCCATTTTCGAGAGATGGATAGAGAACAAGCTAAAAAGAAAGTTATTTTTCCTACAATCAAGGGTCATAATTCAGAAAATGACAATTCGATATGCGCAAATATCGAAAGGAACCGAGATCAAGGTCCACAACCTTGATATACAATCGGATAAAAATTGTGACCTGTAGACTGTTCACAAATAATTGTGGACGGACGGACGGACAGGGGCGACGACAATATACGTCCACATGAAAATGTGGGCATATAAAAACTAGATACTGTAAAGGGAATTTGCTAAAACATTTCAGTCAAATTGATCCACTATGAACAGAGATTTTAGTGATTGAAATTTTCCGCCTGGCCTCAATCATCTTTACTAAAGTCGTAGGATAAAAAAAAACAGTCTCGATTACCCATTTCATGATTTAATTATGAATGGAAGTCGAACAGCAAATCGGAACCTAATCCAGTAAACATCGTCTTGATAATAATTAATGCCTAATTAATAATTTAGATAACATTTCAGGCCCAAAGAAAGACCTCCAATGGCAGATTTAGCTCTTGCATAATGTATGTTTAATATGATTATTACAATGACATCATTATTAATGTGACGTCATAATGTATGTTTAAGCGTTTATTATTTTCGTTATTCATTACTAGTACAAGTATTTACACACGTTGATACCTTGAAATAAAATATAATGCAGAAAGAATGGAATGATAAATGTTGAATGTTTTTTCTACAAATAAACAAAAAAAATAACGTGAAAATAATGCATACATACATGTACGTAATTATTCTTAAGACGGTTTACACGTACAAATATATATTGCAGTTATGACTTGCTATTATATGTACTTACGACTGGCAAGATAACTGATTGGTTTACAACATGATTATAAAACGTTGATAAATTAATAAAAGCAAATGGCTGCATAAAATACAAATCAGAACCGTACGTTGGTGCATAGACTATAGGAAGTTGAATGCGGTGACATCTAAGGATGTATTCCCTATGCCATTGATTGATAAATGTTTAGACATTCTGATGATGGTCGACCAATTCACCAAGTGGGTTGAATGCGTACCATTACCGTCACAGACGGCAGAAATTATCGCCAAGGCAACGGGGAATGAGTTTTTCTCGCGTTTCGGATGTCCATTCCAGTTATTTACGGACCAGGGACGAAACTTCGAGAGTTATGTGTTTGTCTCTTTATGTAAACTGTTACAAATACATGAAAGTCGTACCACATCCTATCGACCGTCGTGGTATGGATAAGTAGAGCGTTACAATCGCACCCTGGTAGAAACCGTTAAGTGTTATATAGATGATTATCAGAACAATTGGGATGTTCATCTCCCACAACTCGCGAGCGCGTTAAGGTCCAGTGTCAACCGGCAGACTGGTTTCACGGCCAATAAATTAATGTTTGGTCGAGAAATAAATCTTCCAGCAGATTTAATGTTTCGTTCACCCGTTTTAAACGCAGGTGACCCGGATAGTTTTGTCGGGAGACTCGAACAGAAGTTAATCGAGCCACATAAAATCACTCGAGATAAATTAAATACAAATCAGGAACGAATGAAGAAAAACTATGATTTACGTTGTAACGTGAACAAATATCAATTAGGTGACGCTGTGTACATTGGGACGATTCGGAAATAGTACCGGTCCTGGATCAACAGGAGTCCCCAGTTGAAAACTGGAACCAGGATGTTGATGTGGAAATCAATTAAAAAAAAAAAGAAAAAAGACCGTAAGTGCGTGTAAGGGTGAGTGTACGGTGAACTTTGTATACCACTATCTGGTTGATTGAGAGTATGCGTGTAAAAAAAAAAATTATATGTAAGTACAGAAAAAAGGGGGGTATAGAATACCCGTTTGTTCAAACATAAGATTGGGAGGAATGTCGAATGTTTTTTCTACAAATAAACAAAATATATACGTGAAAATAATTCATACATGTACGTAATTATTCTTAAGACGGGTTACATGTACAAATATATATTTGAGTTATGACTTGCTATTATATGTACTTACGACTGGCAAGATAACTGATTGGTTTACAACATGATTATAAAACGTTGATAAATGAATAAAAGCAAATGGCTGCATAAAATACAAATCAGATTAACAATGTGGCGATTCCGGGGACCGGCTGGATGTCCTGGACTATATGTACCTTGTGACGTAGTTCCCGAGTATACAAGGACTATAAATTCACCGTGCGAGATTGTCACGGTCTAGGTGTTTCTACATGTGTAAAAGTAAGGTATCATAGATATATTATTGCCTGAGTTGGACTCAGTCCCGGATTGTATAATTATAGTGTCCAGTGCCACTTTAACAACATTGGTCTTAGATTAAGACAGGAAAATCATATCTAAAATGTGGACTTGGATATAACACTATAAAAATAATGGATTCTGACCTATACAAACGAATTAGGCTTCTATCAATTCTGGTTTACTACCCGGATGTTTATTCAGACTACGATGTTTTACTGTCCTCCAATTTCATCTTCTTTTAAAACATCTAAAGTGTATTCGTTATCACTGTTTTCAGCAACCTCGGGTCGTTCTTCTGAGGAAATATTGATCTCTGTATCCACTGGTTCGGTACATTGTCCTGTAAGCAAAACGTTATAGACATTCCTAATCCAGAACTGCATTTGTCTTTTTTCGGTAGTATATAGTTGGTAAAAGATCTCTTAACAGTGGTATTTTGCAGACGGGTAGACTGTCCGTGGATGGCAAGATTGCCCGGATCGTATTGCACATGTTACCATAGAAATACAATTACTGTATGTTTGTCGCGTATACACTGCCTTAAAATAAACAGTTTATACTGTCTTGGTTTTGAACGACGGAGAGAAATGGGGTTTAACATAAACTAGGTTATTTCTTCAATAATTCGCTTGCGAGAAGTGAGTTTAGCTGTGGGAGGAAAGCGGAGGACCCAGATAAGGCGACCATACTCCTTGTTAGGTAGTAGCGGGGAATCGAAACTACGCTACGTGACCTTACGCGCACGCGTTAAAACCCCCGCCCCGCCCCACCTACACTATGTGTACTCACCTGTCTCTAACATGGACACGACATCAGTTAAACCCAGTTCCTGAAGAGCATGTTTAAATACACGGAAGCTACTAGACCCTGTAGTAGAGACCAAACTGTGTAATAACATCCAGGTCGTCTTCTTGTTGTCATCATCTCGGCGTATATGGCTGACAATAATATGTTTATCTCGTATAGCACGCTTCTTGTCCAGCAGGTCTACCAGTTCTATCAGGGGGTATTTCAGATTCTCGGCTACATAATTCATGTGGACATGCATCTTTATCATCTCGTCTAAAAACATTTCACCCCATGTCCGTGTATTTAGTTCTGGGTTTTCCGGTATTGTCATAACTGAATAAAAGGCAACACACAGAAATGAAATGAAATGAAATGGAGTTTAACGTCCTACTGTTCTGCTCCTAACCTGGGCTGATGAAGACGGGCATACGCCATACAGTGTGCAATGAGGGAAATGTTGCCTACGGCCTACTCTTATATCGAATTCCAACTGCCAAGGGATCTTTTACGTGCACGCCAATGTGTACACGGGACCTCGGTTTTTCGTCCCATCCGAACGACTAGACAGTTTTCCTTGTCAGCCCCTCCGTCCTGCATCACTGACAAGGGAGAACCACCCCGGAAAATCTGGATGAACTTTCTCGGCCAATGCAGGGATCGAACACCCGACCTCCAGGCTAGCGAGCTAGCGTCTTACCCACTTAGCCACATGATCCCCAAAGGTAACACACGTATCATAGAAAATGAAATGAAATGGTGTTTAACGTCCTATTTTTCCGGTATCATAATATTTCCGGTATCATAATATTTCCGGTATCATAATATTTTCGGTATCATAATATTTCCGGTATAATATTTTTGAAATGCTGTAGAAAAACGTAATCTGATTAAAATACATATCTATATTTCGTTTCGTTTTTATTATACTTTTGATGGCCTCTACTACTACAGGAAGATCTAACAAGTATTGGTGGAAGGTCTCGTCAGAGGACATACGGGCGGCTTTTGACCCTATGACGTCAGACATTTAATTAACCAATCAGCGTTGATGTTTCTAGTGAGTTACACACAGTTCCGTGCAACTCACGCCAAACCTCCCCGTAACAGAACGTTTCATTGACTAATCCCTCACATCATTCCAGATCCTAGTGTAGTAAAAACAAGTGAAATAAAGGTTTGAACTATAAAAACGGAACGAAATAGGGTTTGTATTTTAATCAGACTGAGAGAAACGACTTTCCAAATAAACCTAAAGATCAATGGAAAATGTTATTCAGAAAGTTACACTTACTTAAATATACTTAACCTTACAGAATTACCCGATGTATTCACTAAAATTTAATATATAAAACGGGGGAGGAGGGGCGGCTTAAAGTCTATAATCGTCATTTAAGAACACTAGAGTCATTTAACCACCAAATATACCTAACTTCCCGTTAGTTTAAGGGGCATCATTGGTGATTAGATAAGTAGTTGACAGTTCTCGCCATAATAGTTCTATCATCATTACTAAAGTCGGTACCATAAAAACAAAGTCTCGATTATCCATTTTTTACGTTTATCCAGACCATAATAAACTCTCGAAGTCATCGCTAGCCTGCGATATTTACTGGATTAGGATCCAATTTGCTGCTCAACTTTCATTCATTTTTATGGGTTTTTTTTTATCGCACCGACTCTAGTATTGATGATCGAGGCTAGGCCGAAAATTCAATAACTAAATTCTCGGTTCAGAGTGGATCAATTTGACTAAATTTTTCAGTAAATTCCCTTTACATTATTTAGTTTTTAACTATGATAGTGAGAACTTCCAGCTCGTTACGTAATCTCCCATAATCTATCTTTAATGTCTAATTAATAATTAAGATAACATTTCAGGCCTAAAGAAAGACCTGTAAATGAATAGGCAGATTTAGCGCTTGCATAACGTTTAAGGGTCAGTGTTGTCAAATTTAGTGCAGAATTCATCCTTAATTTTAATGGACCATAATTTATAGTCTTAAATTGGTAAACAAAGGCCAGTTTAAAGGAAAGAGAGCGAAATGGGGTTTAACGTCCACTCGACACAAACTAGGTCATTTCGGGACTACAGTTTAAAGGAGGAAATCCACCTCGCGTCAATGGACCTAGTTTAGACAATCACTGATGTAGAGAATATCGCATGATTTTTTTTTAAAGAACCCACCAACGTGTGTGTCTCGGCGATCGATTCCGCCGCTCCTTTTCTAACACTTCTTTCTACACCGATGCACAAGGAGTAAAGCCAAAAAACACTACCACTGCAGCTTAGTCACTGCTAATGTATTGAAAGGTAATGTAATCGACTGGTGAATCGCCTAGTGCGCCCGCTGAATGAATTCGGCTACATTTTGGTATCGATTGATTCCGGCAGAAAGTCGCCTAGTATTATTGGTTATACATTTCTAAGATAAATAGAGTTTTACACTATCCAACATTAACTACACCGATTCAAATCTACTAAAAATAAAATTAAAAAATTTTTCCCATACAAATGTTGCGTACTATTATGTATATTCCTAATATATTCACATGGTACAATATATATTTCTATAAACAGTTTCCTGACCGTGGCAACTAGGACTTTTATAGAGTAGGTGACATACATTGCCTTGGAAAGTGGCTGTAGATGGTATCCTGAATGATGAACCTTTGAAAGATTTACTAGTGGTTCGAATTCGACAAATTTATAATATTACAAATTTAACCATTATCACGAGAATAGAACAATATCAACATGGTATCAGATATTGTGACAAAGTGCTTAATTTTCTATTTTATAAAATGCGAACTATAATTTAGATTCTGGTATCAGATATTGTGACAAAGTGCTTTATTTTCTATTTTATAAAGTGCGAATTATTATTTAGATTCTGTGAACTTACTGGCCCCGAGCTGGTTTTGATAATAGATGATATCGACTTGTCAGCTCTGTATAATTATACTTCTGTTAAGGCACGGACTGGCTATGATCTAATTAATCCCATATGCCATTTTATACTTCTGTTAAGGCACGGACTGGCTATGATCTAATTAAACATGTAATTAATCAAAGATGCCATTTACAAACTACATATGATCTGTGTAAAGGCTGCGCATGACTTCAAAGGAATACGCACTGGTTAGTAAGCATACCATGACATGATAAATTGACAAATGCATGTATGATCATGAGGCCTTATCTATTTTCCCTATCGTCGGAGGCTATATAACCAGGAGTTTTCTGACAGACAGACGAGGCGGGAGACAGACATGTTCCTGAAGCAACGATCGCAAGTTTTACAACATCTAACCGTTGCTTCAGAACTAGGCAATTGTTTACACGTGATCAATTAGCATTGTCCAATCAGGGGTCGTCGCACATAACACACTGTAAACAAATATGGCGACCTCCACAGAAACTCTTTGTTGATCAGGTATGATTTCCAGCAACCTTGACATTGATCGAACCTTGAACTTTGCAACTCGATTGTCACATGTAGACATTTTAGCTATAAGCGCGAGACTTGATAATCGTAACGATATTTTTAACGAAGGAATCTGATAGGATCACAAGCTGGGCTTATACCCAATCAAAAATAGTGCCAAAATATGCGGGGTATTACGTGAAGGGCTTGATAAGATGTACGTAGTTAAGGCGAGATTAAGCCTTCTATTGAAGATGGTAGACAGAGAGATCTGCATATGGACTCACCCGAGGTCAGCCGCTGCCGTGACAGAAGGACGGCATGGCTGTCTTAATGTACCATGTTAGTTATCGTTTATGTTCCTAGTGTAGTTTTTGTTCCTGTTGTATTTATGTAGTTCTTAGATATTCTGTTCTGATGTTAATAAACCCTATATGTACGAAACTGTTATTTCTAAGATGGTATTACAATATTTACCTTCCTCTAACTTCTCTACAGCGTGTTTTAACTCAAGCTGTTCTAGTGAGTGCTTGAAAACGTCGTAACTACGGTAACCAGTGTGAGATATTAAACTATAAAACAATAGCCAGGTAGTCATCTTGTTATCACCATATCTATTTCGGTAAATATACATGATATCATAGATATCACTTATTGCATTCTCTTTCTTCAACAAGTATGTTAAATCACCCATCTTGTATTGGATATTTTCGGCTATACAATTCATGCTATGATTTATCTTCATCAGATCCTCAAAAACCTTTTCACCCCAATTTGTTGTCTTTTGTTTTCTTGACACTAAATAAAATATAGAACACATAGGATACACATCGGATAGTGGTAAACTTATATTTCCTTATAGCTTTGAGAGAGAGAGAGAGAGAGAGAGAGAGACAGACAGACAATCTGATTAAAATACAGATCTATATTTCGTTTCGTTTTTTTATACTTTCGGTGGCCTACACTGACAAGTTATAATGATAGGTCACGTCAGGGGTCAAAAGACCGACTTATGACGCTATGACGTCAGACATTTGATTAGCCAATCAGCATTGATGTTACTAGTGGATTACCCACAGTTCCGTGCAAAACACGCCCAAAGCTCGCCGTAACAGATCATTTCATTGGCTTATCCCTGACACCATTCAGAACACGACTTAAATAACAACTCTTCCAGATCCAAGTGTAGTAAAGACAAGAAAAACGAAATTTTTAACTATAAAAACGAAACGAAATAGGATCTGTGTTTTAACCAGATTGCAGAGACAGAGAGAGAGACTGACAGAGACAGACAGAGAGAGACAGAGAGAGACAGACAGACAGATGGAGTTTAACGTGCACTTGACACAAGCTAGGTTATTTCGCTTATTTAAAAGTATTTCGCCGATTTGGTTAAGCCTCATATCTGGGCCTTTATTCAAAGGAAAGTGTAGGCCTTCGTCTCAGATAAACATTTAACTATCTATTTCACATTAATACAATACTAATATAAGTAACTTTCCGAGCGTTAAGGACGAGTGGTATTCAAGGTTAAACTTAGTAATCAATTGTCTCTCACTTTAAGTATATATTCATATTCTGACTATAATATACATCATTTAAGAGCCAAGTCTGCCTACTGCAGATCTTTTCTCTGACTTTAATTTATCATGTTTGTTTGTCGGCATTTACATTCACCACAACATACCAGATTCTGCTGAAGATGTTTGGTAGTCGGGTTCTTGTTGCTGTGTTGATTTATTAATCTTCGTTATTTCATCATACTTCTCCTGCAGCAATTGGTGTTCGTTTTGAAGAAGTTCATGATCTGCCTGTAGGGTGGTAAAATCTATTTCGAGGTTGTCCTTAGCTTGTTGGAGTCTTTTGTTGTCAGTCTCCAGATCATCTATTTTCATCTTCAAGGTTTGGATTTTATTCGCCATGTCACTTATCTGTTTTGTTGTCACCGGGTCATTTTCTGTAGTGATTTGTTCATCTACAAAATATGTTCTTAGTACTTATTTAAAACTGTAAATGATAATTAGCTCTTCTAATAATCACAAAGATATGTTCGGATTTGACAGTTGCTCTTGTCGGGTCTGTCTTACGTTTGCTAAATAGGTTACTTGCAAATAAACTTAGTCGGCATGGCTGGTACTCTCAAATGAAGACGGGCATACGCCATACAGTGTGCTATGAGGGAAATTTTGCCCGGACAGCGGCACTACGGCCTACTCTTATATCGAATTCCAACTGCCAAGGGGTCTTTTACTTGCACGCCAATGTGTACACGGGACCTCGGTTTTTCGTCCCATCCGAACGACTAGACAGCTTTCCTTGTCAGCCCCTCCGTCCTGCATCACTGACAAGGGAGAACCACGCCGGAAAATCTGGGTGAACTTTCTCGGCCAATGCAGGGATCGAACACCCGACCTCCAGGCTAGCGAGCTAGCGTCTTACCCACTTAGCCACGTGATCCCCATGCCTCTTAAGAATGTCTTGACATCAGTGAAGGATATTCATATAAGGATAATTTAGGATTTCTTTAATCCTTTTGAAATTTATTCATTTCCGCGGATTTAAAACCTTTACCTCTATTGAGATTTTCAAATGAAAATCCTTCAGTGGATACTGTGTGGTCACCGATGTTTCCAGATTTCACTGCTGTTTCTAAAACTTGACGCAGTTCACTTTCACTCTTTCTACCAATTGATACCAGATGAAACGTGACCTCAACGCATCCCTTTCTATAAAATATTATATACATGTCACGTGACGTCAATACATCAATTTCTATCGAACATGTCACGTGACGTCAACACATCCATTTCTGTCAAACATGTCACGTGACTTCAACACATCCATTTCTATAAAACATTCCATACATGTCACGTGACTTCAACACATTCCTTTCTATAAAACTTTAAATACATGTCACGTGACTTCAACGCTTCCCTTTCTATAAAATACTATATACATGTCACGTGACTTCAACACACCCTTTCTAAAAAAACTTTAAATACTTGTCACGTGACTCAACGCTCCCTTTTCTATAAAGCTCTAACTAGGTGTCACGTGACCTCAACACATCCCTTTCTATAAAACATTATATGTCACGTGACTTCAACACGTCCCTTTCTGTAAACATATACATGTCACGTGACTTCAACACATCCCTTTCTAACAACATACATATACATGTCACGTGACATTAACACAACCCGCTCTGCAGACATGAATAAAATGCGTGTCATTGGACATCGTTTAATGGCAGTTTATCCAAAAACATATAATGACGGCTATGATATAAACATGTTTTTATTTTAGAAAAGTGTGAAGGTGATCGGCAGACATGTATGTATACATTAAAAGATGACTACTTACTTTAGTTGTTTAATTATGACTATTTCGGTGGATTCCTTGTAGAGTATCTCAATATCTTCTTCAATTTGTTCAACAAACTCTTTATGTTTTGGACTGTTGCAATCGATAATTTCAATTAATTTACGTCCCGGGTATTTTATGGTGCCTCTATAGAGCTCTGTAAAATCAAGAATTCTGACTTCACTAAACTCTCACTGAGTTAGCTTTTGTTGTAGATGAGTATTGGGGATTTCCGGAAATTTCAGCACAACTGTATGGATGTATACTTTGTTTCACGGTAAACGATGAAACGATAAATGGTATGCCGACACAAACTGATTTCAACACTGGTTTAATAACATTTTGACATTTTAAAGTACTTCTTGTCCGTACTTGGGACTATTCATAAAATGATTTTAGCGTGGATTAAGCGGTGACAATTTGATGTTTTAAAAAAGGCAAATGACGATCAGTGAATACAAATAACTAAAGTATTGTGAATTGCCCCGATCGACCGATCGACAATATATTCTCCAATAACTGATTGGGTGATAATGTTTCGCCTCAAAAACCGACTGGATAATAGTAAGGTTTCACTCCAACAACTGACTGGATGATAGTAACGTTTCACTCCAACAACTGACTGGATGATATTAATGTTTCGCGAAACAAAGACGATGGGTTTTGAAAACATAATGAACACTTACCACTCTCAGGTTCAAGATGTCTTATAACATCTGTATAATTATATTTTTCTAAAATCTTTAACAGAATTTTATACGCATGGTGTCCGCCTCTCATTAACATATAGATCATCCTTTCTATCTTCTCGTGCTTATTCGGTATGGCATCTAAAATTTCAACATCCTCATTTCCAAGTACATACTTTGAATACAGCGGCGTTTTTAAAACATTGGGGTCTAATTTGTCCATCAAGTATTCCATATTACTCCGTATCTTTGAATGATCACTTGGTACCATTGTCCCTCTGTCCTCAATCAGAGGTATTTTGTACAAAATCTGACATTCATCTTTATCAAGGCTACCTGTAAGCGATGTACTCTTTCAAAAACACTATTTTACATTTCGAAAAAGAAGAGAGTAGCCAAAGAAAAATAATACGATGTATCGGCATGAAACTCACCATGATTGTTCATAGGACAATTGCTGATCGATGGAGGGACTTCGAGTTGACATGACGTCACAATTCTAAGGCCATGGCGTCATACTCAGTTCCAGGGCCCTTATTCACGAAAACTTAAACTAAGATACAATCGAAATTTTACAAAATACTGCAATTCGATTGGCTGACCAGTAAAATCAATTTGCATATATCCAATGAAGTTGCAGTATTTCTTAAAATTTCGGTTGTAACTTAGTTTAAGTTTTCGCGAATAAGGGCCCTGATCTATAGTACGGTGACACTTGTATAAATTTTAAAAATGATATTGCAGTTTGAGAAGTTCAAGGAATTATTTTTTTATACTTACTATGTCCCATTGACACAAGGTTGAAATAATAAAACGTGAATCGAATGTCGATAACTTTGCAATGTATTACAGGAGAGCAAGTTTGGGGAAAACAGAGCCAGTAACTCCGCATAGAGCTGGTGTACGACAGTAAATTTACACATGGTTTCCTAGCTAGGTGGGTAGTCGGGGTTCATATTTTAGTAATCGTACAAGACACAAGATTATACGTGGATATTTCGATTTTAATATTAACACGCTGATGCCCCCTCCGAAATCCCAAAATAAATAGATGACACATACTATTTAATAGCACGTTTATCTCTTTTAAACATATCGAGCAGTCAAACTAATTAACAATTATACACTAAGTTCAACACTCTCCATGAGTTAGAATCAAGGTGATCTTGTCCCAAAGCATCGACTAATGAAATTGCTTGTCTCTGTTTAGTTTTAGCAGGAAATGTTAATCATTGAACTCAGTCAAGACATTCACCTTATAAACATTTACATTTAAATATTCTACCTCAACTAAAAGCAGATTTAAAATAATTCCATAGTCTTCAGCAATTGCTTATCACTCCTTAGCCTAAGCAGAAAATTCTCATCATCGCTCAATTAGGAGATTTATTGTCTTCTAAAGTCTCGAACAACAAAACTGCTTACCACTCTGCTTACCCTAAGCCGATAATGCTCATTGTCGAACTTAGTGAAGGTATTGATATTGATGTAATCAAACTATACACTAAATTTCCCCACCCTCACTTAATTAGAACTACAGTTACCGTGTCCCAAAGCATCAGGGCCCTGTTTCTCGAAATCTTAACTAAAGATAAAATCCAAACTTTAGTAGATACTTCAATTTTGATTGGCTAAGCAATAAAATCAATCTAATATTATCCAATCAAATTACTAAAATTTGGATTTTATCTTAGATAAAATTTCGTGAAACAGGCCCCTGGTAATCAAATGTTGTATTACTGCTTACTCTAAACAGAAAATGCGCATCTTCGAATTCCATCAAGACATTGACCTAATAAAAACCTACACCGAGTTTCAACATTGTAACTCAGTTAGAAGGAGAGTTATTGTGTCCCAAAAAATGTGACGGAAGGACAGACAGACGGCAGAGAGACCCATTTTAATAGTCTGCTCGTTTCTTCGAAAGGCGGGGAACAATTAGTTGTCCAATAAACAAGACAACAAGTTGGTAGTAAGGTTTAATATTAATTGGTTGCACAAAAGGTTGCGAGATTTGTTAAAGCAACAGACAACCATATAAGCTCACCAGTTGGCTGATTAGGACCCACTTCTTTAAACTGTAAATTGTTGGAATTAAATTCTTCAATAACTTCTTTTAGACGTTTGTTCTCATCTATTAACCTGCTAAATTCTTGTTTCCCAACAACCGATTTATGTTGTCGTTGAGGCGGCACTTTGGGTAGCTCACGTGAGATATTTTTAGACTTGACATTGCCCATTGTTTTGTCAGAGTTTATCTATTTCAGGCCTCGGCATATGAACATGCCGGTTAGGTTGGGTAGTCCTTCTGGAATATAATCAAATATGTGTTTTACAGGTTATTAGCAAATGATCATGACTAATTAAAGCGATCATAGGCGTACAGGCTCAATGAAGAGACAGAACTTGTAATTCCCGAAACAAATTCGTGTTACATACGGCGGTGCCCCCCCCCCCCAAGAATATTTGGAAAATATGACGGCCGCAAACGCGTTTTCCTGTTATTCCATGCCATGAATACAGCAACTTCAATAGCCTCACTTAGGCGACTTAATTACCTGAATCCCAAACAACTAATCAATCGTCGCGAAATCATACTGTACGTCGACCTGAATTCCAACCATCCAATCAGACTGTTGCAACTGCATTCACAAATAATAATCTATACCCGGAAAATCTCACACAAAGTAGAGTGGCTCCAGACAAAATGTTCTAATCCATAGTCAATTCAGTATAAATTCGTGGGATTCAATTAAAGATACATTATGGGAGATAAGATACAGAGATGGCAGTTCTCGCTATAATAGTTAAAAACTAGATAGTGTAAAGGTAATTTGCTGAAAATTTCAGTCAAATTGATCCACTATGAGCCGAGAAAGAAGCGGGTGAAATTTTTGCATAGTCTCGGTCATCATTACTAAAATCATTAATATAAAGAGCATAGTCTCGATTATCCACCCTTTTTTATTTAATTATCAATGGCCGTTAGCGGCATATAGGAATCTAATCCAGCCAACATCGAAGGCTAGCCTTGATATCGAGAGTTTATTATGGTCTGGATAAGTTAATTAATGTCTAATTGATAATTTAGATAACATTTCAGGCCTAAAGAAAGACTTGCAATAAGCAGATTTTGCTCTTGCATAATGCATGTTTAAACGAAGACTAATATTAGTGTTTTATCAGATTTCGGGCACGTTATTTTGCTAACTAGATCAAATAATTTTTGTTTTTATTTTATCCGCCTGCCCAAAAAGTCAGATTGTCCGACAGTTAGCCCCCCCCCCCTTCCGCTTGCCAATGGAACGTGTGCCCATGAAAGCGACGCTTTATGTATTCATGTTCTGGTATTGCCCTCGAAATAATATAGATTTAATTATATGACCACGAAACCAGATTTATAATCCAATAAAACCGTGAACTATATATATATATTATTCCTGTCTCAGATTCCTGACGTGTTGGGGCAGCTAGACCTACTCTACGTAAGCAACACGCTGCATTGGCCGAGACAGTTCATCCAGATTTTCCGGCGTGATTCTACCTTGTCAGTGATGCAGGATGGGACGAAAAACCGAGGTCCCGTGTACACATTGGCGTACACATAAAAGATCCTTTGACAGTTGGAATTCGATATAAGAGTAGGCCGTAGTGCGGCTGTCCGGGCAAAATGTCCCCCATAGCACACTGTATGGCGTGTGCCCGTCTTCATTAGCCCAGCAGAACAGTAGGACGTTAAACCCCATTTCATTTCCTAGGCGACAGCATGATAATACCTCATTCGTTCGTTGAATTTTGTCTCTTGATTAGGATCGTGCTTCTCTTTTACTCAAACTAAAATTGTGTTACCTGATCAAGACACATATATCAAAACAGATATAGCTTACCTTGTAGTACAATGAAACTTTGAGTAACAAAATGTACGGAGGAGTTTATTTGAACTTATTTAATCGCAACTCTAGGTCACGGTGACTAAACGTAATGTTGATGATATCGTTATCAACTTAAAATAAACATTAACAAAAAACTACACTTGTGATCAAACAACTTTGATACTTTATACAGCCCAATCACTTATACATTAATTACAATATCTAGTAGATTGGTGTATATTGTTGTCCTGATTTCTTTTTGAAGAGTCATAATCCTTGAGTGGCATTTAGTGATTGAGCACATTAAAAAATACAACACAATTTATATGGAATACAATCACTAGTTTATGTACATACTAGCAGGATACCCGGCTTCGCTCGGGGGTCAGAAGTTCAAAACCGGAAGTGGTAGACTAACGCCACCTGGCCTATGCTACTCCCCAGTCCGAGCTACCCCTATACCCCAAATTTCAGACTCGGGGCAGACCTAGTGTAGCAGCCAACCCCGAACAGACCGGCTTCGCTCGGGGGTCATAACTCCGAAACCGGAAGTGGTAGACTAACGCCACCTAGCCTATGTTA